TCAACTTAATCTACATATTTATATTCTTGATTTATAAAATTTTAAATTAAAAGATAAAAAATATATATTATAAGTTAAAGTCATGGTTTCTTTTTATCCTTTAACTAAAAAAAATATGATTTAAAATTATAATTTTTTGAACTTAAACTTCTAAAAATTAGTAATAGGTCCAACGGCAATGGTTACGTCGGTAACAAAATCACCTCTCTTGTAAGATTGAACCCATGACCTGACAACTCACACAATTTTCATTACCCTCTTTCGTAGGGGTAGTAATTTTTCTCGATCCTCGTGGAGTTTCGTGAGGATCCCCGTCACAGGGACGAGATAAGGAAGAATATTCTTTTTCGCAGGGTGGGGATGGGAGGTATTTTCTCCCTGTAAAATTTTGCAGGAAATTTTTCTCGTTCTGTGGGACCCTACAGGGATCCTCATCCCTGCGAAAAATTTTAAAAAAAATAATTGAAATTTAATTTAATATTTAAAATAAAACTCAAACCCAACCCAAACCCAACTCAATAAAAATTAAATTTTACCCAACCCAACCCAACCCAAGTATCCTAATCCAACCCAACCGCCCAACCCAGCAATCCAGCATCCTCCTTACAAGTTCCAACCCTAATTAATCCCCCTTCCAACCCTAATTTCATAACTTTATTCATTTCCCCTCCTTTTCTCCTCACTCACACATGCAGGCAGCCACAACCCCTCACTGTTGGAGCTGCTACAAATATGCTGCTGGAGCTGTTACAGATCTGCTCCTAGAGCTGCTGTCAAAGCTGTTAGCTGCAGCCTACAGATTTGCTGGAGTTCATCCTGCTGCCTGTGCTGAACTCCCTCTCTGCTTGCTGCACTATGCTGGACCCCTTCTGCTTGCTGCTTGTGCCGGACCCTCTGCTTGCTGCCTGTGCCGGACCCTCTGCTTGCTGCACTATGCCGGAGCCCCTCTGCTTGTTGCCTGTGCTGGACCCTCTGCTTGTTGCACTATGCCGGACCCCTTCTGCTTGCTGCCTGTGCTGGATTGTGATGAAGACAATAATTCAGAGGTAAATATGCATGACCTTTTTTTTTATAATAATAATATAAATAGCTTTTTTATAAATATATTAATATAAAGTATTTACTAATTGTATTTACTAATTGTATTGTAGGTCTTTTTATGAGCAATTATAGATTTGAGAGCTAAAGTGTTTTGAGTTGGTTCTTGGCTGCTTCCCTTCATGTTGAATGTTGGTTTAGTTTAGTTATTTTATTTATGTTAGGTTGATTTTTGCTTATATTTGGAACAAGTATGTTGCTTTATGTTAGATTAATTTCTATGTATATTTGGAACAACTTATGTTTGGAACATGTTGCTTTATGTTGGATTAATTTCTATTTGGAACAATTTTGTTGATTTAATTATTTGTATTAAATTAATTTCTATTTATGTTTGATCCAAAAAATATATATTTTGTTATTAATTGGTGGGGAATGGGGACGAGAGGTAAAATCTATCCCTTGTCAAAAATTCCTGTGGGATCCCATCCCCACCATTTGCGAGGATGAAAATGGAGAGGTACTCCCCGACCCAACGAGGCCCCGTTGACATCCCGACTCTTTCGTAGATTTTTTTTCAAGCAAGAAGGAATCTTGGGTGCATGACTAATGTCCGTCCAAGTGCTGCTTTGGCGTCATTGCTTACGTTTTTGTTTTGTGCATCATGTTAAAATGAGATTTGCCAGCGATTAATGCAGGTTCCAGTGAAACAACAATAATGCATCTTTTCTATGACACAGTTCTTTCAAATTGCACCCGAAGTTTTAGCTGGTTTGATGTAGGTGCACCTAAGTCTTGATATTTGTCAGAATTTAAATTACAATAACAATCTCATCATATCCCCCTTTACCCCAAATCTCCTCCTGTTCAAAAAAAAGAAAAAGTTCTTTCAAATTGTACTTTTTTTTTAACTTATAGAATTTTAGAGATGGTAGGATTAATAGTATTTAATTGTAAAACTTAAAATTCTATGTACTAACATGTTTACATAAAAAACGTATGGTCATTAGTCATTTATTAAATTATTTAAAAATTTTATTAATTTTAAATAAAATAATTTTTATATACTTTTAAAAAAATAAAGATGAATAATTTATCAACTATATAATAAAAATTTTTACAATAAGTACTGTTCTTAGGAGCATTGTCACACTACATAATGCTGGACGAGCTTTTGGTTATTTCACGCGAATCTCTTTTAGCAACGGTTAACGCAGGATGATGATACCACCAAGTATGTGCCCACACCATACCTGTGTTGGGTTTTTGGTCTTTTTTGCAATTTTTTATTGTAAAATAGCAGATCTGATCTTCCATCTTTTATATGATGAGCACTTTAATTTCATAACTTAAAATTAATTTATTTAGATCCCAAAAAA